GCCTGGCGCCCTTGGGGTACTGGTGGTTTAAAACACAAGTAGACCCACGCCTGGCGCCCTTGGGGTACTGGTGGTTTAAACCACAAGTAGACCCAGCACAGGCCTGGCAGCCTTGGGGTACTGGTGGTTTAAACCACAAGTAAACCCACGCCTGGCGGCCTTGCACTGTGCACCAAGCTTTTCGGAACTGCCAGCGGTGCACTTTTCTTATTTGGCTGGCACCGCCGTCCATTTTGGTCCGGTAGCCCCAGGCCTCCGAAATTCCCGTAGGCAATTTCCATAGGTGATGAAAGATTTCTCTACAAGGCTGGGGCCATGAAAGATTTCGCTACAAGGCTGGGGCCATGTGGACAGGCAACCGCGACGTGCTGGGGATGAACGGGCATGGAGCGCTGGTATAAATTCATCCAAGTGGAAACGTCCCAGCACTGTAGCAATGGCTGGCTGCATGCACGCCAGAACCTCCACGAGTACTGGTAGTTTAAACCGGCAGTACCTTTCCCATACATTGGCCGCGGGCCCTGCGCGTCCAGGATTCAGGATGAATGTGGTCGGGGCGCGAGGCCAGCCCCGGCCTCCATGTTAACCGGCGGGCAATTTCCGTTTGGCGAGGAAAGGTACTGGTCGTTTAAGCCAGACTCACAGCAAAATATACACGATATAAATTGTTACAACAACTTTCCTTCTTTCAAGTTCTTTGTGACAAAAATTAGTTCTTAAACCCCCGGGCAATTTCTTTTTGGCTGGGAAAGGTACTGGCGGATTAAGCCATACTCGCAGCAAAATATACATGATATAATATTTCAACTTCTTTGTGACAAAAATTAGTTCTTAAACCCCCGCCATATATGGGTTCACAAACCCCAAAAGGTGTCCAAAAGCCTTCCCGCGGCCAGCGTTCTTGGTCGGGTAGGCCAAGCCATTCCACAGCCCCCCCCCCCTTTAAATCACCAGAAGTCTCACGCCTCTTTTTCACAACACTGATATTTGCCCGGCCCTACGAGATAAAGGCCGCTGTGGGGTGCGTGATTTGCCTGGCACAGCAGTGCTCCAAGCCATTAACCGGCGGGCAGTTTTTCAAAGGCTGGGCCTCCCACAGGCGCTTTTACCAGCACGACACTGCAGAATAGCAGGCAAGGGTTCTGGTGGTTCAATTCTCCCTTTCCTTTCTCTTCGCTTTTCGACATGTTGATTTCTATTTGCTTGTTCACATCAGTCTATTTCGAAAATAAAAATGAAATATTATTAAAAAACAAAGAACGAACGAAATATTATCCATGATTAGAATTCACTACATATTAGGTAGGGAGCATTCTCCGAAGATTCCAAATTGACAGGCGGTGGTCGGTCCCCAATTCTAACATACTGATCCGGCTCTTGATCTCTAATAAGAACCCGAACACAACGCACCCTCATTTTGGCTGCACCGGACTGGAAAGATAGCTGGTATAGCAGGGTACATTGTGGTCGGGGGAAGACGGTAGGTAGGTGCGCATTGATGTATAAAAAGAAAAGGTGCTGGCACATTCAGATGCCTTGAGTATCATCTTTTACTGAACGAATGCAAAAAAAAAAAAAAAAAAAAAAAAAAAAAAAAAAAAAAAAAAAAAAAAAAAAAAAAAAAAAAAAAAAAAAAAAAAAAAAAA